GGGAAATTTAAATCCCAGCATCATTTGCAATTTTGAAGTGTCTAATTTACATCCCTTTTTTGAGAAAAGGGATGTAGTTTAGACAGCCAAAGAATTCTTCTCTCAGAAGAAGACAAAGCAGGACTGCATCTCTTGTGGTTACCCGGGCCGGAGGGAGAGGAGAAGATGCTGAAGGACCAGAAAAGCCCTGTAACTTTATGGAGGAGTAGGTAGTTTTGCTTTCAAACAAATCACAAAGACCTGGATACAGAAAGGAAGTTAGGTACCTAAAGATGTGAGGTCTGGGCCTAGGGCTCTAGTTGTCTCTTTAAATTCTAAGCCCCATTGACCTCTAACGTAAGAATGGCCAGACTGGGTCAGACCAAAGGTCCATCCAGCCCACTATCCTGTCTGCCGACAGTGACCAATACCAGGTGCCCCAGAGGGACAGGCAGTGATCAAGCAATCTCTCTCCTGCCATCCCTCTCCACTCTCTGACAAACAGAGGCTAGGGACACCATTCCTTACCCATCCTGGCTAATAGCCATTAATGGACTTAACTAGATAAATTCATGGAGGTTATCTTTTTTACATCCTGTTATAGTCCTAGCCTTCACAACCTCCTCAGACAAGGAATTCCACAGGTTTTCTGTGTGCTGTGTAAAGAACTTCCTTTTATTTGTTAATCTTAGTTTAGTTCTTAGATAGACAAGGTGGAGGAGGTAACATCTTTTATTGGACCAACTTCTGCCAGCAAGAGAGACACAATTACTTAATATCCTGGGCTCGACATAGCACCAGCACTGCAAATGTACTTAGAAAGGTACATGGAGTTTACACACAAAGTTATAAATTAGGAGAAAAGTTGAATGGTGTGCAATGAGTAACTGATAACAGGAGTGTCAGTGGAGCTGAAGTAATATATTAACAAACCTCCTCCAGTCCTTTTTCTGGTCACAGTGATTCAGCACAACTAGCAGAATCTTTACGCAACAAGGGATGCTGAAGTTCATAGAGGAGGCACGGAAGGTCAGACTTAGCAGGACAGTTGCCTGCATTACACCTGACTCAGGCCCCGAGGACTTCAGTGTATGGAGGAAGCAGCTTCCCTAGTTTCCACACAGACATTTCATTTACTCTCTGTAAATGATTCCAGGAGTGGCCACCTGAAGACTCAACGCCCTGCTGGCTCAGTGGCTGAGAGTGCTTTTTTGTTGAGATCAGCAGGTGGAATCCTCATAGGGTTCTGGTGATTCTGTCTAATTTTTAAGTCCTCAGCCACAGTGCAGTCCCAGAGGCCTATGGCAAGCCTTAGATGCACCTCTAAGGGCAGTCTTGACATGCCTTTTGCATTCTCCTCTGTCAGGGGACTGGTGGGATGGGGCTCCTCAGAGCAGCATGGCTCATGAGAAAGTGGCACTGCCAGGCTGAAGTGCTCCAGAGCAGCATGAAGGAGACTCACTTAGACTTGTAATTAGTCTGTTTAATTGATAGAGCCCAGTGGTTTGGGCCAATGTGAAATAACATGAAATACAACAAAAAGCAACCTGCATGATGAAATAAAACCAAAACCTCCTCCCAGAGTGAGGCTTCTTGCAGGACTGTTGCCACAGGGGCTGAGGAGTGCACTCTGCTCTTGGTGCTGGAACTTGGAATTGCTGAGACTGTTCACCTCACTTTGACCTGCCCGCCACCCATGATGACAGAGTGGTGACCAGAGTGGTACCGCAACCCCATGTATCAGTGTGGAGTGTTCAGAGCGAGGATCCATGCCCAGCTGTCATGAGACAGTGCCATTGCGGAGGGGAAAGGGCAGGGTGGGCTCAGTCTACTTCAATCTGGAGGTCTTTCCCACCCGCCCTGTACACTGTCAGGGCCAGGACCCCACCACCACCCCTAATAGAGCCTCCCACGATAGCAAAAAATAAAATATAAAACGATGAATAGTCTTGCAGCACCTTAGAGACTAACAAAACTTATAGATGGTAGCATGAGCTCCATGAAACCTCATGATACCCTCTACATGTTTTGTAAGTCTCTAAGGTGCTGCAAGACTATTCATTATTTTTAAAGCTTTTTCCAGTTACAGACTCACTCAGCTATCCCTCTGAAGCGCTTGAACAAAATACAATAAAATGCCTAGAAACCCACAATGATAAATTACCAAAAATAAAAAGAACTTCCAGGGTTTCTGCTAGTGGCTACATGGATTACATTTTGAAAAATGGCTAGTGATAGGGGTGTCTTCTCAAAAAAGGCCTGGCTGTCAGGGGTGGGGTTAGGGAGATGAGGAGAAATGATCAGCACTTTCTGAAAATCAGACTCCTCTGATGTTTCACATACTGGGTATCCAAAAATGGAGGTCCCCAAAGCAAGTTGCTTTTGAAACCTGCAGGCCATGTATTTCTCCAAAAAGCATATAACATAGCTGAGTAATTTGTAATTATTCCACAACATTTTGGACTAAAAAGAACTTACCCATGAGAGTTTTTTCTTCTGGCCACAATTGATGCCTCCGATGAAGACCATATTGGGCATTACTGGCCTGGGATACTCAAATGCAAAATCATATCTCATCAGCCAAACAGAGGACTGACTTAAAAGTTCTAGGATTGTCAAATCCCTTTGAAGAAACTCAGATGCTAGACTATCAAACTGAGAGAACAGAAGCTTGCAGAATAAGTGCTCCAGTGCGCCAAATAAGAAGTTCATTACACGTTGGGTAAACGACATATGGTCTGTGTAGGAAGTCAAAAATTTGGGGCTATATGAAGGAGGATCTGGACACTGAATAGCCTTATCCAAGCTACAGGGAACTCCACGCAAAAAGTTGACAGAAGGGATGGAAAGATATTCAGCAACTATGGATCCACAGGGTAAGACAGGATCTGTAAGGATAGCATCAAAATGAACCTCCTCAATGTATTTCATCACTTCTTTGTTTAACAGAAAGTGTTTACAGGTGGTGAGCATCATAGTATTAACACTGGTGAAGCTTTCATATGCTATGAAAACTTTCTTCAGAATAGGTCCATCATCAAAAATAAGGTAAATCAATGACTGGAAGAAGACATCCAATTTTTCCTTTGTGTGAGGCACTGGGTATGTTTTCACTGAGTAATACAGTGATGGTCTTATAAGTAAACTGACTTCTGGCATGACAACTACTATTTCGTGTCCCTTCAGACTGAGTTTCTCTAGCACCTGACACATGCTGAGCCAGTGACTTCCATCCACAGGTATCACCAACAGCTTTCCACCTTCTGCAAGACTGCAGACGACCAGAAAAAGAAGTAATCTAGAAACAATTGGATGCTCCGACTGAGAGGAAGGAGCCATGATCTATCACTCCGGGGCTGAACACTGATTTGTAACGGAGAAAATCCTTGTAAAGTAAATATTTACCTAGGTTCAGATAAAGATCAGAATGATTAGGCATTTGATGTAATAAAAATTAAGCAACAACTAAATGCTGTAAGTTTCTGCACAGATAGAAAGATTATTTTGATGGAATGCTACCTCAGGATGTGCTAGTTGGTGCCTAAGGATTAAATTTAAAATAAGTGTTTGCACAATGTAGAAAAAGAGGGTTGGGAAAACTACAGGTGCCAGGGGAGGGAAAGAAGAGGGGAAGACTTATAGATAAAGAACAGAGAAATCGCGGAGTAGTCTTTCTTTTCTTGACACTTTGACATCTGTGAGTAGGATCCTCTTCATTCCAGCTATGAATAGGGGCTTAACGTGTATGACTTATACTAGCAAAAAGCAGGTGTGAAAGAGGGAGTTGCCAAGCAGGGTCCATGAACAACTACTATAGGAAATTCCAGCACCTGTCATAGGATGTTGGTGCTGGCCCGGGGACCTCAGTTCCTGTCGTCTTCTATGTCTATCTTTACCTAGAAGGTTCAGTCTTTTTGTCAGTAACAAGTGTCCTCCTGGATGTGAAACTTTTGGACCAGATCCTCTCCACGTGAAAATGGACTTCATCAGAGCTACATTCACTTATGGCAGCTCAGAGTCTCATCCTACTTTGTGAAACTAGCTAATATTAAGGTGCGTAGGCAGAAATGAGGACTATTAGCACTTGGTGCTTAAAAGGAAAGGTGATTTGAATTGCTGTGTAATCACTTAATAAAAGTATATTTGAAAAGAAGAAATATAGCTGCCGAAAAAGCTATGGAAAAGTGCATAATGAAATGAAAGCAGAGTCATTATCTTCTCAACAGGATACTTAATGCTTGCCAAACTGAAATCAAAGGCATAATATTCCTATCTAGGATATAAAACATCTCATGAATTCAGGGTCCTGCCAGGAGTACAACACAAATGAAAGCTTTAACCAACCTGCGATAATTCCTTCTGGGCGCAGTTTATGCCTCCAATTACAACAATGTTAGGCATCAATGGTTTGGGGTAGTCCACTGTAAAATCAAATCTCATCAGCCAAACAGATCCATGACTTAAAAGCTCCGTCACTGTTATATCTCTCTGAAGAAATTCAGAGGCCAGTTTTCCATAGGGTGCATAAACAAAATCACACAGAAAAATCTCAAATAAGCTGAACAGCAGATTCTTAACACGCTGGGGGAATGTCATGTGGTCTGTATTGGTTGTCAGTAACCTTGGGACATAAGAAGGTGGGTTTGGACACTGAATGGCCTTATAGTCTAAGCCACATGGGATTCCACGCAAGAAAAACACAGAAGGGACAGAAAGATACTCAGCAATGATCTGTCCACAGGGCATCATGGGATCCGTAAAGACAACATCAAATTTGCTCCCTTTTAGGTATTGGATCAGCTCTTTGTTGTATAGTAAGTGTGTGCAAGCAGATAAAAACAAAGAGGAGGTGTTCTTCAGCCTTTCACGTTGTCGAACAAATCTTTCCAGAAGAGGTCGTTCCTCAAAAACCTCTTGAGTAAAAGCCAAAAAATGACTCTCCAGCTGTGCCTTTGTGAAAGGCACCGGATACATTTTCATGACATAATTCTTGGATGTTTTTACATGTATGTTTATTTCAGGTGCAACGACGACAATCTCATGTCCTTTGAGCCTAAGCGCATCCAGCACAGCCCGCATGCTGAGCCAGTGACTTCCATCCATCGGCACCACAAGCAGCCTCCCGCCATCAGCAAAGCTCAAGAAGGCCAAGAAAATAAACCACACTGCACTGATCTGGGGCCCAGAGTGAATTTCAGGAGCCATTGCTGTAGCAGAGCGGTGGATACGCTAGAGACTAGCACATTGCCAGCTGAGACTCCACTTAGTAACTCCTGGCGTCTGTTTTTTGGACCTTTAGCCCCACATGCTATTCAAGCTAAAGTTACTTACATAATTGTAGGTACATAACAAGATCAAACACAAAGGTCTGAAACCTGAGCTGTACTTTGGCAGTAATCACAACACAATACACTTGATTAACCAAGGCCTTTTTCACCTTAAGTTAATCTCTGACTCTTACCACACTAACCCCTGAGTCAAAACCTGACCTTAGGTGCAGCATGAACAATCTCTGCACTGGCTAGATCAGTGTTTCTTAAATTTTTTAAGACCGAGGAACACCAAACAATATATTTTTTTTGTGTGGAACACCAAGGATTTTTGTTGGGGGGGGGGGGGGGGGGGAGAGGGAAGCAAGCCTTCCCCTTTTATGGACAGCCATTTGAACTCTGTTCTTTCCATGTATGGTGACCATATTTTCTGAACCAAAATTAGAGACACATTACCTACACCCCCTGCCCTCTGTTTAATATGCCCCTGACTCTCCAGGTCAAGATGGACACATGACCAGAAGTAAAAGTAACCTCCTCCAAGAACTTTTCCCACCATCCTCCTACCCATAGGGGATGAGTTTGGCCCCCACCGAACTCTCTCTCATCTGGTGCTGGTCTCTCCCCTGCAGGTGTCTGCTCTTCTGCTTCACCCCCAGAATCCCCTGGCACCTGCACCTTTCCTTACCCCTGCCGCCTCCTTCTCTCACTGCTTCTCCTCCTTTCTCCCTGATGCCCATCCCCTCACCAACCTCTGCCCCAGGTCCTCTCATGCCCCTCTATGCCCTCACACATAACTTGCTCCATCCCCTCCTTCCTCATGCCCACCCTTCCTTTCAATCCCTTTCCCAGCCCCCCACCCCCTTGCTTCCTCTTGCCCCCAATGCCCTTCCCCTCTCCTCTCCCGGCATCACCCCATCCCCTCCAACCTCCCACCCCCACTGACACCTCCCCTCAAATTGAAAGAGCCAGACGAATACCTAGAAACCATCTACTTCAAGACAGACCCAAGAAAACCAACAATAGAACACCACTTGTCATCACCTACAGCCCCCAACTTAAACCTGTCCAACACATTATCAATAAACTACAGCCTATACTGGAACAGGATACTAAACTCCAAGAGTCTCTAGGAGACAGACCCATAGTGTCCTATAGACAACCACCTAACCTCAAGATGATTCTTACCAACAACCACAGGACATACCACACTAATACCAACCCTGGTACCTTCCCTTGCAACAAACCCCGTTGCCAGCTTTGTCCACATATTCACTCTGCTGATACCATTATTAGACCTAACCAAGTGAGTTATAAGATCAAGAAAACATATTCCGGCTCATCCAGAAATATAATTTATGGTATCATGTGCCGAAAGTGTCCGTCTGCAATATACATTGGACAAACATCTCAGACTCTTTGCCAAAGAATCAATGCCCACAAAACAGATATTAGACAGGATCACAAAGAAAAAACAGTTTCTTGCCATTTCAACCAGAAAGGACACTGTCTCAACGACTTGATTACCTGCATCCTGCTTCAAAGATCTTTTAAGACTGCACTTCAAAGAGAATCCTCTGAACTGTCATTCATGCTTAAATTCAACACTTTACACCTAAGCTTAAACAAATACATTAATTCTTACCCATTATAAAGATAGCTTCCCCAATTATCACCTCTAATATCATTAACTCACAGACATTTACCTTTCCCCCCTCCCCCATCTGTTCTGAAATTTGATTTGTCCTTTTCATATGTGTTCATTTTTTTTAATTGTATCCTTTGGTATATATGGTTGTGACAATTTTCTTCCACTATTTGATCTGAGGAAGTGGGTCTGGCCCACAAAAGCTCATCACCTAATAAACCATCTTGTTAGTCTTTAAAGTGCTACATAGTCCTGTTTTTTGTTACATTAGATATACAATTCCATATGGCCCAGAGCACATAATGAAGTGATTGCCAACAATACTTTCCTTGCAATTCCAGTATGTCCTACGAAACATACATTCCTTACCTGAGACAATGGCTTCTTCTCTTTGCAGTTGATCCCTCCAATAAAGACCATGTTGGGCATCACAGGCATGGGATATTCAAACACAAAATCAACTCTCTTCAACCAAATGGATCCATGGCTGAAAAGTTCCTTCATTGTCATTGGTCTTTGCAGGAAGTCAGAGGCCAGACTTTCAAATTGTGAATAAACAATATTACAAAGAAAGGACTCGGAGGAGCTGATTAACAGGTTCGTCACACGCTGGGTAAATGTCATATGGTCTGCGTTGGATGAAAGCATTCTCGGGACATAAGATGGTGGGTTTGGGCATTGAGCTGCCTCCAAGTCGACTCCACATGGGATTCCCCGTAAGAAGAAAATAGAAGGGACAGAAAGATGCAAAGCTATGATCTGCCCACAGGGTAGCATGGGATCAGTAAAGACCGCATCAAAGTTACTCTCTTTGAGGTATGGCATCAGCCCACTGTTGTACAGTAAGTGTGTGCAAGTGGTAAAGAGAAGAGCAGAGGTTTTCTTAGCATTTTCCAATATCTGAATAATCCTTAGTGGAAAAGGTTGCTCCTTAAAAATGGTCTCAGTAAATGCGAGAAACTTTCCATCCAGTTCTTCCTTTGTGAAAGGCACTGAGTACGTTCGCATCGTATATGACTCAGATGTTCCCATGAACAGATTGATTTCTGGTGCAACAACAGTTATTTCATGTCCTTTCTGTCTGAGTTCGTCTAGCACTGCTCTCATGCTGAGCCAGTGACTTCCATCCATAGGGATCACAAGCAGCTTCCCCCCACCAGCCAAACGCATTGAGGACACAACAAGCAGCAGCACCGCAGTAAATGAATACATTTTCCCTTTAATGTAAAGCCCAATATGCACAGTCAAACATGTACAGCCAAGTTTTATGCCAATAACCACACTTTGTGGCAATGCTTCGTCATTCCACCCACGTACCTTGGACCATGTCTGATTCTCAAGGGTTTATTCTTAGATGCTTGCACGCTATGAAAGTGGCAAGGTTTCAAGGGTTGTAAATGTCTGAGACTAGAACTGCAGGTTGACAATGGAAGTGCTTTGCTCTAACAAGATATCTCCTGGGAAATCTCTGCTATTAAACACTCAACCCATGCTACAAGAACAAGCCACACTATGATTGTTATTGCCTTTTATTAGGGTGACCATACATTGTTTTGGCTGCAACAGTCCCCTTCTTAAGCCCTGTCAAACTTTCTTGACAAATCTGGGCATTTTTCCTGTTTTGCTCTCGAGGGCAGGTCAGGCTGGTAAAGCTCCTCCCCTCATACAAGTGGGTGGACAGATATGCCAGGACTCTGGGCAAGGTGTGGGGGGGTGGGGAGGTGGCTGCCGAGGCCTAAAAGGGGTGGAGTTGAGGGGACAGCCTTCCCCAGCTGGCCCTTCAGTGTAGCCTGGCATGCACCACCTGGGGGATCTGGCCATTGCCATTCCTGTGCAGTCTCAGGCTCTTTTAAATCATCAGGACCTTGTGGCAGCTGCCTCCTTTACCCACCCCCGCCTTCACTCCTTCCCCATTCCCCATCAGTAACCCTAGTTCCAAGGGGCAGGGATAGGTCAGGCCAGTCATGCATTGGGGGGTGGGGAGGGGGAAGGGACCTTTGGGCTGGCCCATGAGGTATCCCTTGGTCTCTTTGGGAAAATGAGGTCACTCTACCTGTCATAATGACACCTATGCCTGAGATAAGACCACAACTGTTTCATCTCACCATGTTGCTATATGGCAGAGGGCTCTGCTGTTGCTGTTT